CTTGGATGCGGAGGGCCCAGCCCACTCCGGCCCATAGTGGGTATACATTGACTGTCACAATCCTCACACTCCTTCAAGCCTGCAGTCCCCACTGTGGTCCGTGTCTGTGTGCGAACTTCCCGGCTTTCCAATGAAGGGCAGGGGAAGGTTGCTGAGAAAGCCCTTGACCTCGTGTACGTGAAGCTACTGTTTAATAATAGCTGCTACCATTTGGAGACTTTTTATAGGCATTTCATGCAGATTATCTCACAAGATATGGGACGAGTCTCAAAGAATTGAGCTGAGATTGAGCCCAAGGCTTTCACACCCTAAAACCAACTGTCTGACCCCAGAACAGGCGTTCCTAACTGGGAAGATGGGGCTCCATGAGTCCCCTGAGTAGAAAATGTGAAGTGTTACACTTTTCTAGAACAAATCCCAAGGCCTTCAATCAGCGGTAAGATTTGTGTGTGTGTGTGTGATACTCATGAGATGTCTTAAGAAACAATGACTGCTACGTTTGATAATTTCAAAGGACGGCTCCAGTGTTATCCTGAAAAGTTAAGGGTGTGCCCCAAACATCGCTGGCTCTTTCTCCCTGGTATTAGGCCAGTTTATCTTGACAGTTTGTTTCATCATTAGTTAATCTGATCTCATAGAGCTGAGTGGAAATGTGCAGACTTAGGAGGCTGGCAAGGGCTGGCCCTCCAGCCGGCCCCTCCCTCACGCACAGAGCCGTCAGCCATCAGATGCTGCGGCGCTCAGGGCTGGGGACCTGGGCTCGCATCCCAGGCTGGCTCCTCGGAATCGTCCCTGGTGCAGAACAGGAGGAAAAGGAGAGTGTGAGCCCAAGGTGCTTGGGAAAGACCGTGGGCCACGAAGCCGCCTTCAGCAGGAGGCACCCTGTTCCCTAAATGGTTAAACAGAATTCGGAGACCTTGGGGTGGGAGGGCGGTGGGAGAAAGAAGGGAGACAGGAGAGAGGAATTGTGTTGGCGATGGCTTGGGATTTATTTATTGTACTCGCTGTTGATTAAGCCCGCTCCGCAGCAGGCGCGGGGCTGGTAAATACACAGGCTGATTCATTAGTTTCTGACCATCTGCTTCCCGGGGCCAGGGGGCGGGGGGCCGGCGGGCCCTGCAGGTTAGGGCAGCTTAGTGCCCGCAGCCAGGTTGGGGCCCCCGTCCCTTGGCAGAGCTGGCCACGTCCGTCTTCCTGATGACAGACAGGCTGGTGCAGTCTTCAGTGGGGACCCCAGGAGCTGGGGAGGTGAGGGAGGGTAGACAGGGGGATGGAGAAGGGGGAGAGGTGAGGTGTGAGTGATTGACAGCAGCTGGGGGTGGACAGAAATACTCTCAACATTCACTATGAGATCTGTTACTATCAATCTAATTATCTTCTAGTAATAACTAGTTAATAGGGTAACAATAACTATCCCTTGGTCTTCCCCTGGTGGCTCAGCTGGTAAAGAATCCGCCTGTAATGCGGAGACCTGGGTTCGATCCCTGGGTTGGGAAGATCCCCTGGAGAAGGGAAAGGCTACCCACTCCAGTATTCTGGCCTGGAGAATTCCATGGACTGTATCATCAATGGGGTCTCAAAGAGTCGGACATGACTAGCGACTTTCACTTCACACTAGTGTTTACTGAGGTCCAGGCCCTATCCGGAGGCTTCACCACACTGGCCCAGATAAACACACTAACAACCCTGTGATGAGGGAACTGGGTTCAAAGATGAATCAGACAAGGCGGGCTTCCTGGAGGAGGGACATCGGGAATGACTCTCTAAAAAAACCCAGAAGAGGGAAAGTGGCTCCAGGTGTAAAGCTCACAGGTGAGAGAGGATGAGACAGCTTCATTGCTGGGTGGGTAACTTTCCAAGTGGGTAGAGGAGTGTGATGCCACCTGGTGCCAGCTGACCAAGAAGCGGGCTGGTGGAGGAGGGCCCCAGAGAGAGCTTCTGGTGGTCCTTTCCGCCTGACCCAGTCTCTGCTGAGCTGGGGTAAGACACATACTAGTTTGCTAGGGCCTGGGTGGGCTTAAACCACAGAAATTATTCTCTTAGTTTCTGGAGCTGGAAGTCCAAGGTCAAGGTTTGTCTGACCCTTGAAGACCAAGGCAGGCTGGTATCTTCTGAGGCGTCTTCCTTGACTTGCCTCCAGCTGCTTCTTCACAAGCTCATTTCCCTGTGTGCATGAGCCCCAGGCAGCTCTCTGTGTCCACACTTTCCCTTCTTGTAAGAACCCAGGCAGGTGGTGACTCAGGGGTACAGAATCCACCTGCCAATGGAGGAGACGCAGGTTCGATCCCTGGGTTGGGAAGATTCCCTGGAGAAGGAAATGGCAACCCACTCCAGTATTCTCGCCTGGGAAGTCCCACGGACAGAGGAGCCTGGCGGGCTACGGTCTATGGGGTTGCAGACTTTGACTCAACTTGGTGAATAAAACAATAACAACAGACTTGGACTAGGGGCCACCTAACGGCCTCCTTTTAATGTCATCACTTTTCAAGGCCCTGTGTCTCCAAAAACTGTCAAATTAACACAGTCAATTAATTACAGTCAAAAATACAAATTTGGAGGTCCTAGGGGCTAAGGCTTCAACATATGAATTTGGGGGGAGACACAGCTTAGTCCATAACGAGGTGGCGGGGGTGGCAGAAGAAGGGGGAGCTGTGGAAAGAGGGTGACGGCTGGGTTGGGGGGAGGGGAGGACCACCCCCCTCGCCCCCCCGGTGCAGACTGTGTCTTCCGGTCCCCAGTGTCCAGCTGTGAGCTCGGGGACATCTGGCCACATGTCACAACCAGAGCCCATTCTGCTGTGGGCGGCCCGGGGCCCGGGCAGGATGTGTGCCCCCAGGCAGGCCTGCGCCCTCCAGCTCCGGCGGCCCGCCCCGCTCTCATCACCAGGCCTGGCCGCTGCGGGCCCCTGAGCCATCCCCGTGGGGCTCTCAGCCCCTCCCTGCTCAGGGCAACATCGCAGGATCACAGACCGGAGCGTGAGGAAGCTCGGACCCCCGTGAGCCGAGCCGGGCCCCTCTCCCGTGTGTTGTGTGTGAGGTCAACGGAGCTCCAGGTCACCCCTGGGGTGGTCCAGGACCGAGGAGGGCTCATCCTCAAGCCCCTCCCACCTTCAGGGAGGCGGGGGGTGGTCCTGCCCTGCCCTGGGCCTCAGTTTCCCCATCTGCTCAGTGGACTTGATGTTCCCCTCCCCTCCGAGTTTCCCGGTCCTGCGAATCAGCAGGACTGAGCAGGTGGAGTGGGCAGGGCGCCACAGGAGGCCAGGACAGAGCTATTTTAGTGGAACCTGCCTCGGTAAACCCCGGGGACAGCCTGCCCACCGAGGATCCCTGGGGAGGACTGGGATCTGGCCCTCCACGAACAGACTTCAAAGGTGATGGCCTGAGGTCGCCGCAGTGATGTGGGCTCAGCCCCTCAGGAGGCGAGGCGCCCACTGTCCCAGGAGCCGAATGCCTCATTTTAGAATGTGAGGCTTTAACTCAGATTCAAGCCGCTTTGTTTCTGAGCAAACCAGGGACCTGAAATATTCATCAAAAGAAGCTGCAATTGGTCTGGGGCGCGTGCGGCTCTTAGTGACAGTTTTTCCTTTTAATTAATAGACTTTACTTTTTAGAGCAGTCTGAGGTTTACTGAAAATGGAGCAGGCAGTCCAGAGAGCTCCTAAGACCCGTTTCCCCACGCAATTCCCCCATTATTAACAGCTCACATTAGCGCGGCGCCTCTGTTAACCAGGCGTGTTGTGATTAACCCAAGTCCACACCGACAGTAAGGTCTACTCTCCGTGTTGTACATTCTGCGGGTTTGGACAGATGGACCATTTCTCCACCACGACAGGATCGTACTAGAGGGTTTTGCCGCCCTAAAAATCCCCCGGGCCCCCCCCTTTCATCTCTCCCACCCCGGGCAACCACTGCGTTAGATTTTCAGGCCTCTGGGTGAGTTCACATGGTGGACCAGACCCGGGGAGGGGGGGGTCTGAACTACCGAGAAGGGGAGCCCCAGCTGGAGCTGGCTGGGGGAGTGGGCTGCCAGCTTTCGGACGTGGGGGCGTTGGGGAGGAGAAGAAGCATGTGGGAGCTGTGCCCCACCTTTCCCAGCCAGTGTCCCCCACGGGGCCCGCCGGGCATGTGCCAGGGACCCGGAAAGGACCTCCCACCAGATGTACCTCTATGAGAGGGACCGGTCAACACCCAGCATGCCCGGGTGGGTGAAGTGGACAGGCAGGCTCTGGGGACAGGGAGCAAGCTACTGTGACAGACAGACCCCCGTTCCTCCTCGCAGGGTCTTGGGGCCAGGGTCACCACCTTCCTGAGCCCGGGTGTCTCCATCTGGGGCACGGAGCTAATGCTCCCACACCGTGCACCTCCAAGTGAGACACTAAACAGGAGAGAGACGAGACACTGCGCCTGGCACCAGGAGACTTTTTGACTTCTTCCACCACCCCTCCCGTGACTACTGATTGTGCTGTTCGAAGGGTCGGGAAGGTGTCTCTGTGTAGGAGGCGATTCAAGAGTCAAGAGTGTGAGCAGGCATTTGGAGGCAGACGGGGTGGAAGGGCATGTGGGGGACAGGGAACAGCATCTGCAAAGGCTCAGAGGCACAGACACGGGAGGCTTGGAGGACAGGCATGCTCAGGCCAGAGGCCAGGAATGGTGGCCCCCAGCATGGAGGGAGGAGGTCAGGGCATTGCAGGAAAGACATAGGGCATTATCCTCCAGGCCGTGGGGAGCCACAGACAGTCGTGGAGCGGTGACTAGCTCCCACCTTTCTTGCTTGGCTGTGCTTAGAGTAGAAACAGATGTGCTTTCTGGGAAGGCCCTAGAGCTGCGTGTGTTTTAGGGATTTCGGGAGAGAGAGGCTTCCTGGTGCCCAGACCCTGGAGCACAGGCTCTGAGACCTCTGAGCACCCAGGGGCCGGGTGGGGCCAGGGCTCCCAGTCCCCACCCACCCAGAGGAGCCAGCGCCCACCCTGGTCTCCCCCCCTTCCCACCCACCACTTGCAGGAAAACCCCTATCTGTGTAGCAACGAGTGTGACGCCTCCAACCCAGACCTGGCCCACCCGCCCCGGCTGATGTTCGACCGGGAGGACGAGGGCCTGGCCACCTACTGGCAGAGCGTCACGTGGAGCCGCTACCCCAGCCCGCTGGAGGCCAACATCACCCTGTCGTGGAACAAGAGCGTGGAGCTGACGGACGACGTGGTTGTCACCTTCGAGTACGGCCGGCCCACCGTCATGGTCCTGGAGAAGTCGCTGGACAACGGGCGGACGTGGCAGCCCTACCAGTTCTACGCGGAGGACTGCATGGAGGCCTTCGGCATGCCGGCGCGGCGGGCGCGCGACCTGTCGGCGTCGGGCGCGCACCGGGTGCTGTGCACCGAGGAGTACTCGCGCTGGGCCGGCTCCAAGAAGGAGAAGCTCGTGCGCTTCGAGGTGCGGGACCGCTTCGCCATCTTCGCCGGCCCCGGCCTGCGCAACATGGACAACCTGTACACGCGGCTGGAGAGCGCCAAGGGCCTCAAGGAGTTCTTCACCCTCACCGACCTGCGCATGAGGCTGCTGCGGCCGGCGCTGGGCGGCACCTACGTGCAGAGGGAGAACCTCTACAAGTACTTCTACGCCATCTCCAACGTCGAGGTCACCGGCAGGTAAGGCCCCGGGGGCGCGATGGTTCCTGGGATGTTACCTGATACCTGGAATGTTACGTGGTACCCAGGATGTTACCTGGTTTCCGGGATGTCATCTGGTTCCTGAGACGTTACCTGGTTCCCAGCATGTTACCTGGTTCCTGGGATATTACCTTATAACTGGAATGTTACGTGGTACCCAGGATGTTACCTGGTTTCCGGGATGTCATCTGGTTCCTGAGACGTTACCTGGTTCCCAGCATGTTACCTGGTTCCTGGGATATTACCTTATAACTGGAATGTAACATAATACCCAGGATGTTACCTGGTTTCTGGGACGTTATCTGGTTCCTGAGACGTTACCTGGTACCCAGGATGTTACCTGCTTTCCGGAACATTATCTGTTCCTAAGATATTACCTGGTTCCTGGGACATTATCTTGTTCCTAAGGTATTACCTGGTTCCTGGGACATTATCTTATGCCCAGGATGTTACCTGGTTTCTGGGATGTTACCTGGGACTTTACTTGGCACCTGGAACGTTTGCCTGGTGTTACATCGAAGGGGCTGCTTGTATTTTTCCATAGAGGGAGATGAATGGTGGATGATAAATGCCCTCCATAAAGCCCAGGCTACCTCTGGCCACAGGACTGGGAAGTCTGGAGAGAATGGGCAGAGCTGGGCCCAGCTGGTGGGACTAGGGCTGAAGCCTGATGCTCAGGGTGTACGGTATAACTGCCCACCGACTCAGTGAGGGGCAGTTGTGTCTGGGGGGACCATGAGATCATCCTCAGGCTCCGTGATTTGCTAGAACTCACTGAACTTGGCAAAGCTGTTATACTCCCAGCCGCTGTTTGTTACAATTAAAGGACATAGATAAAAGCCGGCAGTGGAGAAAGGGGCACAGGGCAGGGTCTGAGAGACATCGCGAGCTTCCGGCCAGCATCTCCCAGGGCAGCCGTGCAGACAGTGCTTAATTCTCCCAGCAACGATGTGTGACAACACCTGGGGAGTAGCCCAGCCAGGGGGGGCTTGCCCAAGCCTGGATTTCCAGGTTTTTATCAGGAATTGATCGCATAGGCATGGCTGACTGACCATATGATTGATCACAGCCCCTAATTCCTTGACCCACAGGTCATGGTGATACAACATGGCCCAAAGCCCCCACCATAAATCACATCTTTATTGTAAACTGTGTGGAATGGCCCCCAGCTCCAAGTAAACCAAGACACTCATTGGGCAGGCCATTCCAAGGCTCAAAGTTACCTCCCAGGAGCTAGTCAAGGGCCACACTTTTCTTTGGAACATGTAGGCTGTGAACAGCTGTCCAAACCTGCTGAGTTATTCCTTTGCTCACAGCTTTGGAGAAGGAGATGTTTTGAGGACCCTTTTGAGGGGAGGCAAAAGACCATCATAGGAGGTAAAAACAGCCTTTGATTCCCAGGAACTGTTTAGATTGCAGCAGATAAACCAGTTCCACACTGAGATACTTTGTTTGTTTGACAGGCCCTGTGCTTGTCAGTATGAACAAGGCCTTTATCCCACAGCGGGGATAGAACATCCTGCACTCAAGAGCCAGGCTCGGGGAGGCCCCATGGCTCATAAGCAAGGGGTCAGTTGTAAAGGGCAGTGGCGTGTAACGCAAGGACTGCCTGAGTGTGGTTCCTGGACCAGCAGTGTCAGCATCACTTAGATACTTGCTGGAGATGCAGATTCTCAGGCCCTATGCCAGACCCACTGTATCATAAACTCCAGGGCAGGGGCCCGGCAATCTGTGTTTGAACAAGCCTCTCTGGAGAATTCTGATAAACATTTACATTTGAGAACTGCTGGTGTGATGGTTGGGAGTAGGCACGTTTTAGCCCATGGCCTGGGCCTGCCATAGACTGGCTGTGAGCCTCTGAATGAGGACTTCTCTGTGCCTCAGTTTCCCCCTCTGTAGAATAGGGAAGATAATAAGCATGCTTCTCCCATTGGGCTGCAGTGAGTTAAATGTGTTCATGTTGATGAAACCCTCAGAACTACTTTGCGCCTGTGTTTATTACATCGTAAGCTGAATCATTGGAAAACACCCTGATGCTGGGAAAGATTGAGAGCAAGAGAAGTGGGCAACAGAGGATGAGATGGTTGGATGGCATCACCGACTCAATGGATATGAGTCTCAGCCAACTCTGGGAGATAGTGAAGGACAGGGAAGCCTGGCGTCCTGCAGTCCAGGGTCGCAAAGAGTCGGATACTTAGCGACTGAACAACAACAATTTAAACTACATGTTTACCATGTTACGCATGCTGAAAAAGTACTTATTGAAGAAAATAAATTGTGGTCAAAATAATGGTGTCAGAGAGCTGGGGCAGGCTGAGGAAGGACCGAGTTGAGACCCAGGGGTGTTGGAGTAGAATTAGGGCCAGGGCATATCACTGGCCAGTTTGGGCAGGGTTGCCCCAGAGTCCAGCTGGGACAATGTAGCAGGGCATCTCTCCACAGCAGGCCCCGCAGACTGCCCTTGTACACAATTACTGATGAGTACAAAAAATAGTTTGCTGCATGGTGTGTATAGTATAATCCCAGTTTTGTGAAATATATGATATAGCCACACACATGATTTCCCTGTTGACTTTAACATTGGACAGAGGTTGACACTGACATTGGAAAGAGCTCTGTTCCGGCCCAGGAGGACTGTGGATGCAGGGGAAAGGCTGGAAGCCTGTGTACTAAACCCCTCACTATGGTCACGCCTGCGGAGCCGGGGTAGGCAGGAGCGGTGTGGGGCTTTGTCTTTCAGCTTGTGTTGGCATTTTATTTCACTTTGACTCTTGGTGTGGATTCCAGATGGGCCGAGGCAAAGGCAAAGGCAAGCGATTCTTTGAGGTGGGGTGAAGTTCAAGGCTGGCAGGTGGCAGTGAGGCAGGTGCACGTGTCCTGTGGTTCGGACACCCGTGATTCCTAACCCGCCCTCGCTTGGGGCGGGCTGTTTTAAGCCAGGAATGTTCTGGAAACCGCCTGATATATGGTGGTTATTGTGGAATCTGGTGGTCAAAGATCAAGTTCTTGCTCCTGCTTCTTGGATCTATGTCCAGGCTTCGGGCCATTGGTCAGCACAGTGACTTCTGCCGGCCCTAGGGATGCGATGGTCTGGTTTGCTTAAGACCCTCCCATCTGCCAGCTCAACAGCTAAGCAGTTTGGGGGTGAGAACCAGATCCCCACCCTTTCTGGGGAGTGTGGCCTTTTTTCTGTCCTCCTCGGACTGCTCCAGGGGGCTCCTCACCTTCAGGAGTCTGCTCGAGGGCCCACCTTCCACTTTATCGGGCAGCTCAGGCAGGGTCCTGAGGTCTGGGCCGGCGGCAGGATCTGGGCTGGATGCTGACAGCCAGGACCGGTCGTACCCCTCCTACCTCAAGGTGGGTGAAGGTCATTTTTCTCTTAGGAGGGACTCTGTGATGCTGAAGTGGGGCAAATTGTATGTGGGAAGGGACAGAAGGGGCGGGAAAGAGTCTCAGCTTTTCAGCCTCATTCAAATCAAGAGGGCTGACTGGTGCTGGGTGACCGAGGCCGGGCAGGCAGGCAGCTGAGCTGGGCTCCAGACCTGCCCCCTGCACCCCTCTCTGGGCCTCAGTTTCCATCTATAACATGAGGACCGGAGCTGCCTGGAGCCCGTGCCACCCTGGTAAGGTGGCAGGGCGGTCCCTGCCGGGCAGCTCCCAGCTCCAGTTGGCACCCAGCCTCTGTGGGCAGCGGAGATTAGCTGTAGTGGTGGCGAACCACGCAATCAATTCACAGATAAAGTAAGTACTCACAGGTGGCTGGTTGGCAGGAAAGCGGCATCTAGGCTTATTGATTAATTAGGTCTGGTTAGATGGTTCAGCAAAGGGCCATGCCTTCCCCTACTTCTTCTTTTCAGATTCCAGCTGGGAAAGCCCAGCTGTGCCAGGGAGCCAGAGAGGCAGGAGGGGGTGGCAGAGGTGGCCATGGGCCTGCCCAGACGATGCCGTTGGTGTTCCTGAGTAGGCACCTGGGGACCCAGGGCTCTTGGGTGCTGGGATTTCAGACTGAACCTGTTCTGGGATTTGCTCAGAAATTTTATGACCCAGAGTCCACGGTGCCTCCCCCTATGGCCTGTTAATGATATAGGTGAGATTTATTATTTGCGATGGGCTCCTTTCCTGTTGAGCAGTGAGGTAAGGGCTCACTTAGTTAATCTGTAGTCATTTGATTCCCCCATGATTAGTAAATCCCTAAGATCCCACCAGCTGGAGCATTGAGCAAGCCGGACCTGATCTCCATCCCCATAGACCCTTACCCACAGGGACAGCATTCCCCTCTGCCTCGTGTTTTTAGATAAGGAGGCCAAGGTCAGTGGGCACAGGTAGATCTCACAGCCAAACAGTCAAGATCCAACCCAAGAGTGCCCAAGCAAGCTCAAATATACCTCTGTGGAATCCAGAGGTCTTTGATACTGTGATTGCTTCCAGCCCTGTCACTCATGTCAGCTATTTCCAGCTTCAAGGGGGACCTGGATGGGAGGGGGAGGCAGGAGCGGGCCTTCTGAGGCACCTGGCTCTGAGCTGGGGAGGGGGGCAGATGGAGAAGCCGGGCCTCTGGGGATGAGGAACTGGTACAAACCAGATGGTGGGAGGAAGGGGGAGCGCCACCCGTGGCCCCCAGGGCAGTGCTGGGAGCAGGAAGACAGCACCTGGGGACTGCTGTCCGCCACCGGCCTCCCCTCCCTGCAGGACCAGGCCAAACAGCCTTGGCAGCCCTGCCCACTCTGGGTCTGAGATAAAGAGAATGGGGGAGAGAATCCCACCTGCTCCCATTCCTGGAGGTCTGGGAGAGGCAGGTACGATCTTCCCCTTCTCCACATGGGGAACCTCAGGTGCGGACTGGGAGGGTGGCTGGCTTTATTTAACTGAGTGCATCTGGCACTCAGTGGCATCCAGATTTGAGCAGGAATGAGGCGGTGCTTGGAGCAGAGACAAGGGCCTGCTCCTCTCCCAACACAGCGGTCGAGGGCAGCCGGCCC